CCCTAGTAACTTTTATTGCCTTGCTTGGGGTGAAATTATTTTTAAAAAACACAAAAGGAGTACTTTGCCCACTAATTACTTAAGTTCAGCAACCTATCAGTCAATCAATTAATATACGTGATACATGTTTGAGAGGCTTTCGATCCATGACTGGCTACGCAGAAGATTTTCCCACAGTAGATTGTCTTTTCTTTTCTTTCTCCGGTAGACTGGTTAGAACCAACCTGTTCTGTTATTCAACCGATTTGTGGACGGAGAAAAGATAGATTCATAGAGTATTTGCGCGTAAGTTAATGTAATGAACCCGACTGGAATTCGAACGTGGCTCTCGGATTTCTTATTCCGAGCCGACATCCATTACACAACAACACGCTTCCTATACTAACTAGAAATATTCTTCCCGAATTCCTCCAATAACTTTACCAATCTCTCCGATTACCAACTTACAAAGGAATTCTTTAACTAAGGTCAGAGCTGGCATCTACAGTCTAATTTTGACAGCAACAAAAAAAAAGAGAGAGAAAGATAGGAATCCTACGACTACAAGCCGATAAACACTTCAAATCTCACTCTTAATTACAAAACTTGTTTCAGACCGAAAACATGAGAGGTCAAAAACCAACGTTAATCTTAACCAAAACTGGTCGGTTTTTCATACCATTTCCATGAAGAAAATGATTCCACCTGCCATATTCTGTCTTCATAAAAGAGTAAGCTTAGACCAAATCCACTCTTTCCAGTCGTGCCGGAGCTCAAAATAGTTTACCCAGATTTGCGGGCGAATAACTGTTTTCTAACCTAAAGTCCCTTTCCCGAACACGAAACGCCGCAAGCTATTCGCTACGCTATTGTTATTTTAATAGCAAATTTTCATGCGTGTTATTAGCTCCAAAACGGACCTTCACAGCTCGGACCCGCCATGCGACATACACAGATTCGACTCATCTTCAACAACCAAAAGAAATGTCCTTTTAGATTGACTATTAACCAAAGCTAGAAAGCTTTAGTCTAGACAGCTATTGTTCAAAATAAATGCTAGGGAGAAGAGATACTTTGTTCCCCGGCCTGCACGTCCGAGAAAACTTAATAAAGAAAATTCTGAGGATGCAGGTTCGAATCCTGCTGGAGAGACATTTTCTTTATGTTTTTGTCGAGTGGTGGGCGAAGTAAACACTGTTTTAAAAAACAGAACATTCTACTCAAATACTGTTATCTACTAAAAATAACGTTTAAATTAATAAAAAATATGTCGGCCCATATAATCGACTCTCCCGTCGAGATTTGACGTATGAGGGTCAAGCAGATCAGTTTCCAGGAAACCGACAGCCCGACACCGGCACATGAGATTTGATTATAGTAGTGAAGTTTTCGTGCAGGACCATCCATACTTTTTGAAGGGACGAATACAGAGATCTGATGCACCGAATGCCACAAGGTTCCCAAACGACCCTCTGCAGGTTTTGAATTCAGAGTTGTCCTTCTCCTAGACCAGTTGCCATCCAAGGCTATAGAACCCAGTCTGTCCTGCTATTTTACCCATAGCTGGAGGCCCATATATATATATATATATATATATATATATATATGATAAAATATACTTTTCAGGTATGCTAAATTTATGGGTTAAAGTGCTCAATATCAGTGATACAGCGTATGTAAATATAAAAGTGGACATCAACAACCAAAGGCGACAGTCTGTTTCATGCTAAACGCAATCATCACAATGTCGCCTCTGGGTGTTGACTTCAATATATATATATATATATATATATATATATATATATATATGTTTGAATAAAAGACAGACTACGTTAAGGACTTTACTTCAAAAAGCTGAAATGAAGAATGAAAAAGAAAACTCACAGGTTTTTACGGACCTCATCAAATATACGCGTCTTTTGGTTTTCTTTTTAACCCCAGCGTGTCGGCTGGATGTTGCTCTAATCTAACGCGTTACATTAGAAGCAACATCCAGCCGACACGCTAAAATTAAATAGAAAACTAAAATGATATATATGACACACTCACATCCTCTCTCCCACCTCACTTCCTCACTTCGTTAACTTTGAGTATACTTGATGAGGTCCGTAAAAACTTGTGAATTTTCTTTTCATTTTCATTTCAGCTTTTGGAAGTAAAATCTGATGATCCAGAACCCCTGTAAAAAGGGGTTATGGTGAAATAACCTGTACATGGAACCTTAACGTGGTCTGTTTTTTATTCAAACATATCTGCTCTAATTTTACATTGAGCTCTCTGGATATCATCCTCCTCAGGTCTACCCATACGGATTACCTAAATTTGCATAAACTATATATATATATATATATATATATATATATATATATATATATATATCGTCCATATCCAAACATGCAAAATGTGGTGGAAAACAAAAGGCGGTTCTCTGTCTGTGTGAAAGTCTTTCTCTTTCACTCACACACACACACTCTCTCTTTGCATATATATATATATATATATATATATATATATATATGTTTATATATGCGACCGTTCACTCTAAAATCAAAATTAGAAATTAATATAGAACTGACTAAACCACAGAAAAATAACGATGTACAGGACAAATATTAGGAAGAAAAGATAAAGGGTGGAGCAAAAGGTCGTGCGATTTGTACTCAATTTACAGAATGAAGAATTTTAACAGAAGATGGAAAAATGAGATAGAGGTGCTTGCTTTTAAGATATAACAGAAAATAGCGCAGTCAACTTGGCAAAACCTAAAACTTTTAGCCAGATAATGTCTCGAACGAAAACGACAATGCTGAAAAAAGAAAAAGAAAAAAAGGTCTAAATGCAAATCTACCAACTCAGTAAATACTTAAAGCTTAGAGTGCCTACACAGTGCAATATTGACTTCTATGTAAGGATGGCTATAGTCGTAACAAGAGTTTCAAACTCACGTGATCTTCAGATGACTTGATATATATAATAAACCTAGCAACCCATAATGCATAATGCACCCTTGACTAGCATATATAAACCAACAAACACTACACGACCTGAAGATTGCGTCCAAATGTCGCCACTCGATGTTTATATATATATATATATATATATATATATATATATATATATATATACACACACACACACACACACACACACACACACACAAGATGACAATATATTAAAAAATACACAGACAAAACATTAATGATAGTCTGTTTATGTTTACATGGGGGATTTCCAAGCAAAAGCAAACTCGTGCATACGAAACCCTGGAAGCGAAAATCGCACCGTAGCTCATGACGTCACACATGACCACTTAATGCTTTCCGTTTTCACTCTCGTGTGGTCCGTGTATTGCTTAATATATCGTAATGTAATTGTCATCTTTGATAATGGCTTATGTAAGCCGAAAGCTTAGATAAGATTAAAAAAATATGTATCCATATTGTGATTTTCTTTCTCCGTTTAATGTTAATGTTATTAAGCTTATCTGGCGATATGAAAAGAATTTACATAAAATAAATAGACAACACTTGTCTATATTATTTAATGAAACATGCATCAATATATATATATATATATATATATATATATGAAGAAAAATATACGGAAAAAACAAACAAAAATCCTAATATGCAATTATGCTGTTTTAATGTTAATATAATGTCAACGTCGGACGTTTCGGTCTAATAAACCATCTTCAGGACATATTCATAAAATATAATTAACATTAGACTATATTCAATTCAACATGGAAAAGACGATGGACATAAAAGCAATACCAATCCAAACAGATAACTGAAATCCTTTTTTTAAGATCAGCGTTCCGTTTAAATATGATCACGTCGTCGTCGCGTGGGCGATGTTGTGAAAACGTATTCCTAAAATTTGCATAATTGCATATTAGGATTTTTGTTTGTTTTTTCCGTATATTTTTCTTCATACTGTCGGATCTATATCCATATATTTGTTATATCCATATATTTGCTATATATATATATATATATATATATATATATATATATATATATATATATAAGAGTGAACATAGAAATCAACACTTAGAGCGACAGTCTGTTTCATGCTAGATGCAATCGTCAGGTGGCCTGACGTTTTGCATCTAGTATGAAACAGCCTGTTCTAAATACTTTATTTCACTTTTATATTATACACACTCTATCTCTGATATTGAGCACTTTATCCATAAATATAGCACACCTTAAGACTATATTTCTTTATATATATATATATATATATATATATATATATGTATATATGTGTGTGTGTATATATGTGCGTGTGTTTTTGTTTGTAATGGTTATAATCGTGTAAAATAAAATCGACGAGGCGAATTCTGTTTCACTTATTTCGCACTATTGCCCTTGGGAAAGGTATGAATCCATCTTCTCTCACCTGTGGATTAAATAACAAGACAGACTAGGATCTTATACCTTAGATGGCAACCTGGAAAAACGCTGTCTGGGGATTGTGCAACCTTTCTCTCTTATCAGTTCATCCCAAAAAGCGTAGGTGGCTTTTACACAAGCCTTTAGCCCCTCTAATCAATTCATCTGTGTAGATAGCCTAGCTGTTCAGTTCTAAAACTGAACTGTTGGGTCCACATACACCAAAATCAACAGGAGAGCCGGTCATATATATATATATATATATATATATATATATATATATTTGTGCGTGTGTGTGTACAAAAAATTTAATATTATGTTTAACAGAAGACGTTTCAATTAAAGGCAGACGTTTTTGAATTATATACATAAAGAATCCCATTTGTAAGCCCATATAACTGTAGCGATGTGTTAAATATATATATGGTCTATTAGATTACCGTAAATCAGAGAGCGTCGTGGGGTTGCATAAGTTTATCTTTATCCCTCCGTGATGCTTCGTTAATCTCGATATATGGCGACCTACTGTTTCATGGACAATTTGTCTTCTCGAATGTCCACTTCTCGAGGCGAAATTCCAACGATTTCAGGCTCTCCGGTTTTCTACTTCACAGCACAAACATGGACGACTTGTTCTCCCCTTTCAATATCGGCCATTTTATTTCGCTTATTTATTTTCGACTCCTTTATGCTCGCCTTTTAACTTCTTTCTTTTTCTTTTTTCTTTTTTGTTCATTTTTTCCGATTTAAGGACTCTTTCTAGAATTCGGTCATTTTTTTTTACTTACTTTTTTTTTAAGACAGCAAAATCGGACACAAGCTGGAAAAACGGAGAGTAAAAAAATGGAGACAAAATTAAAGAGTAGTCAGCTTGCAGTGGTTCCCAGATTTTTTTTCTCTGGGCCGCATTTTCGGAATGAAAATTTGCTCCCGCCTCAACAAATTTTAAGTGATAAAAAATACAGTTAAAAATTAAAAAAACAAAAAAACAAAGAGAGGATTAAAGGGAGATAATCGCAGATTTGAACTCAGAACATTATCATTGATAACTCTCTCCTTCAATTTGCGGAACCTAGTGACTATAGTCTTAATACTTGAAATAATGCAAAAAGTGATAAAATCAGTCAATAATTATTTATAACTATTTGGAACTCATGCATGCAATTACAAGTAATCCATAAAAATATTTTAAAATTTGAGATCATATTTAATTTTAGCATATATTTTTTTTAAATTGTTTCTAAATCTTTGATTATCTTTCAATCATTCCGCCTCACCTGCTATCCTCTTCCGCCACATCTAAGAGGTGCGTCGGACGGTTTGGTAACCACTGGTATAGAGGCAGGAGGAATTCTTATTTTCTACCGACGCCGATTAATATATATATATATATATATATATATATTATAAATTAATTGATTTAAAATATGTTTTTTCGCTACACAGTTCTAACCATGTTTCAAAAATGGAAGCTAAAAGATTCGAATTTAATTTTGTAATTAAATTAAATACATTAGTTCCATTTCACCCTCAAGCAAATTTATATATCTTACTGTTCTTTCTTTTTATTTACACACACACACACACATATATATATATATATATATATATATATATATATATATATATATATATATATATATAAACGTGTGCACTTTAAAAAATTATAACTTTATTTGTATTTGCCATAGAAATAATCTGTAAAAATGTTATAAAGTTTAATGTACCGAGTTTTAAGTATAGCTAAAATAACTAATGTGATTTCAGGCATTACTGCAAATCAGTTGTCAAATGTTTTCCGTGAACTGCAAAATCATATTACCCTTTGTATTGCTAATGATGGAGGACTTGTGGAAACTTAAATAAAATTTCAATAAAACCTTTAAAAATTATAGATTTACTTCTTTCTAATCGTTTTTACAAATTATTTCTATCGCAAATGCAAATAAAGTTATAAATTTTTAAAGTGCACACGAACTTTATGGACACCTTATATACATATATATATATATATATATATATATATATATATATATATATATATGATTGCATATGTATGTGTATATTTACCACTAATATTCTATCAATCTATCAATATATATATATATATATATATATATATATATATATATATATATATATATATATTTGTCCAGAAACTGTGGAAGATATTACAGGTCCATGTAACACTTATATTAAGCACCGTCTGTCCTTTTGCTTGAGGCTTACGGCCACATAACGTTTAAACACCGGGGTCCTCGTAATACCATTGAAGTTAAGCAACGTCGAACCTGGTCGGTACCTAGATGGGTGACCGCTTGGGAATACCAGGTGCTGTAAGCTTAGATGTGTGGGTGGTGTAATGGATAGTGACTCGGAATTGTTAATCGGAGATCCGAGTTCCAATTCCCGTTCGGTTCATTATATTCACTTATGCGTAAATACCCTTGGGAATGGCATGAATCCACCTCTTCTCTCCCCAGCTATGGGTTAATTAGTAAAACTTGTATCACTAAACCATTATCATCTCTCCTCCCCCACAAAAAAAATGCGTACAAAATATTTAGATTTTGGCATGAAATAACCTATAGAGGTGTTGATATGTCGCTAAACAAAAGCAACCAACATTTTACATCGTACTCTGAAAAGCTGATAAAAAAATATATATATATATATATATATATATATATATATATATATATATATATTTACATTCCTAAAAATATTAATATCTTAATGTTTTTTGTAATCAAAACATTACCACTGTTCCTTTCTCCGACCTTCTTCAGGTGTTTAAGTTATAAGGGAAAAATGGGAATAGTTGAATAAATGACTCAACTTTGTTTCTGTTTGAACAGCACCCATGCAGGCATGTCACCAAAGGATCCGTTCACCAGCCAACATTTCTAATTGGTTAAGTGACATATTTCAGGTCTTTATGATAGCCCTGGCTTTCTATTTACTAATTGATCATCCGGTACAAGGCTCAAGTGCCACTCAAGAAAGAGGGTTACTGAATGAAGAAGAGGTAAGTACAGATTATGAGGATATGGAAGAAAGATAACGGTTGACCTTAAACTTGAAAAAGGTGATATTTTCAAATCATTAATTCAGTAGTCCATTCCACAAAGTACCTGTTCCTGTGGTCCCTTTATCGCTTTCACTGACCAGCAACAGCTGTTTAGCTTGACATCAATTAACCGTTCTCAGATATGCCGATGACGTTGCTAAACCAACGTCGCTGATGATCGACAAACATGGCTTCGATGGAGTTTAACTATGGCCTTGAGGACACTCAAACCTAGTTTTAACGGATAAATGGGATAAACATTGATCTAATAATGGCGATTGTCCCTAGCTACCAACACGAAATCTGTAGTGGAAAATATCAACAATTAATAGTAATAGCTGGCCGCTCGTATTCGAGTATGCTTATCTGATTACCGATCTCTATTTATGTTTGTTCAACCCCCCACAGAGCCCACCTATGGTTAATACTGCAAGTATATTGAGCAAGGAATTTGTAGAGGTGGCAATGGGAAGCCACTCCACTATCTTTCGTAAGAAGTCATGGCAATTCACAAATGATAAAGAAAAGGAATCTGTGGAGAAGGCAACGGGAAGCCACTCCTTTATCTTTCCAAAGAAGTCATGGCAATTCGCAGATCGAAAAGGACCTCCAATCGGTTGTCAACTGGGGCAGGAATTGGCTGGTTAACTTTAATGCCTCAAAAACAAAACTGCTCTCTATTACACACCACAGAGATCCTTCCCTACCCTCCATTAGAATGCCTGACATTCAACTTCTCGAGAGGATTTCTCTGCGGCTGCTCGGTCTCACGTTGACTGTTGACCTGAGATGGAACAAATACATTGAGTCAATTGCTTCGTCCACCGCAAAGAAAGTTGGCTCCCCTGCCGCGCCAGGAAATGTTTCTCCCGAATCGATCCTCCAGACCTACAAATCAACAATTCGCTCTTGCATGGAGTATTGCTGCCATATATGGTCTGGAGCCCTTTTGTTTGCCTCAGGGTTCTTGATAGGCTCCAGAGGCGGATATAAATATAATTGGCCTTGCTCTGGCATCGTCTACAGTCACTTTATCACAGACGCCGTCGCCTCTCTCTGTCTGTTTTACAAATACTTTCATGGCAATTGTTCCGAGGAGCTGCATTCGCTGGTTCCCAGACTTCATGAGTTCAAGCGCCCTACGAGACTGGCATCCCGCTCTCGCCCTTTCACTGTCAAAACCCCTAAATGTAGCCGTCTCTTCTACTCCAATAGCTTCATGTCTCGCACCTCTCGCCTGTGGAACTTCCTTCCCTATTCCAGTTTCCCTGAGAGCTATAATCCTCAGCTATTCAAATGTAATGTCAATCGACATCTCCAGTTGCCTTGATCTATCCACTATCCTTCTCCTCATCCTTTCTTCTATCTCTCCTATCTGATCTTGCTCCAAATTTTCTGTAACCCCTTGCGTCCTAGTGGCTTCTCGACTTGCTTGGGGTGAAACGCTTGAAACTGAGTCGGCTGCTCCAGGTTTTGTCCGTAATACCGAGGTATGAGAGTATAATAAAAACAGATTTTTACGTTAAATAAGCCAGTAGAGAGTGATCTGTTTTAAATTGCTTCGACCTTAGCCAAATACCGAACCGACGTTTACTTCATCCGAATGTTTGCTCATTGGGCTCGCACTTTCCCTATAGAATTATTTTTATTTTGTCAAACATTTTTCTTTTTTTATTGGATACTCGTGTTCGAGTATACGCCTGTCTTGGAACCTTTCTGTTAATTCAGCCCAAAGTAAAAGGAATTTATCTTACTTATTATAAAACGCAGATTTTGTGTGTGTGTGTGTGTGTGTGTGTGTGTGTGTCTGTGTCTGTACGTTTATATATTGGATCGGATTTCCTACATTTTTCAACCGATTTCAACAAAACTTCACAGGACTACGCAAAATTACCTTGCGGTGGTTCTAACAGTGCCAAAAATTGGAAAAACACAATTGTTTTTGCGCAAAATAAATTTGAAAACACGATTAATCGCGAGAATGAAAGGGGGACAACTCATATCGATTTATACTTATAAAAGCCAGGTTGATTTTGTGTCTGTGTGTTCATGTATATATGGGATTAGATTTCCTATATTTTTCAACCAATTTCAAAAAAAACTTCACTTTTTTTTTTAGTAGTGTTTCTTATTGTCTTGCACACTTTTTTTTTATTTTTTAAATTCAGAATGCTTTAAATATTCCATTTACAAGACAATTGTTTATAAAAAAATAATTCTATTCAATCGGTAGACTCATAATGATTGAAAACAATGTTTTTGTTTGAGTTTGGGTTTGACCAATTCGTAAAAAAAAAAAAAAAATAATAATTAAGACATGCGTGTCCGTCAACCTTAAATTGACCTTTGTCAATTTTATTTTTCAGTCTTTATGATGGTCGATACTTGATCTATCTCTTACCGTTACATCCCCGGGCAACGCCGGGCTCTACTGCTAGTATTTACTAAAATTAACACCAAGTTCTCAGAGCGAGGCATTTCCATTCCACTCCGGTTGAGTTGACTAGGGTGCGTTATTTCTAAGTGTGGGGTCTGCGTTCTCGTTTACCTCCATAAATAAGCCAAAAACAATTTTTTTTTCATTTCTTTTTTAAATTGTATAATTCTTTGTAAGTACCTCGAATATCATCCACACTTATAAAAAGTGAATAACTCTGATTTTTTTTTTTTTTTTTTTTTGGTTATTTTTCCGTTCTAAGGGTTGGAATTGTTGCGGAGCAAGCTAAACAAATTTTGATTTAAAATTTATAAATTCAAAACAGTGCCAAAAATTTAATTAAAAAAAAAAACTTTGATTTAAAATTTATAATTTCTTGGGGTGAATTAATATTTGCGATAAGTAGCGTTATATTATTTGGAGTGAATTAACAGAAATGATACCTCATTAAAAAACAAAAAACATCGTGTATTACTTAATGGTGTATTGCTTAATAAAGAAAATGTGCTCCCCATATGCAGCAATCGAAGTGAGGTACAACAAAACTTAAGATTTGAATATTTATAAGTCTACCATTCATTCTTGAATTGAATATTTCTGTCACATATGGTCTGGTATTTCTACTATGTATTTAAAGATTCTTGACAAAAAAGAAAAAGAAGAATCTGCAATATTATCGATCATGACCCGGCATCTCGGCTTCAATCATTTTCACACCACCGTGACGTAGCTTCCCTGTGCCACTTCTATAAATACTATAAATGATCGTTTCTCTATGGTTCCTAGACTTTATTAATTTAAGCGTACAGCGAGATTGGCGGCAAGGTCTCGTCGTTTTACATCATTTTACAATTGAAATGGCTAGATGCAACCGTAAGTTCTATGCTAACGGTTTCTTCTCTCGCACTTCTCGCTTGTGAAACTCTCTTCCGGTTTCTTGCTTTTCAGTCAAGTTTGATCAACAAAAAATTAAATGCAATGTCTATCGTTATCTCCTGTCTTCTTAATTCTTATTCATTTATTGTCCTCTCTCCTTAATAGTATATTTTCTCATATTCTCTAACAGCCGGTAACCCTTTGTGGGCTAATGGCTTCTCGTTGCCTTGCTTGGGATGAAATGATTATAAAGAAATACACAAAAGGAATACATTATCCACTAATTAATTATACAAAATAATACATTTTAATTCCTGTTCTTTTATTATGCTTTCAACTTAGTAATGTTTCTTTTATTGTAATGTTTTTTTTTTCTCATATTCTTTACACTCAGTATATCTTACGTATTCGTGAGTTTATTACTTTGCTTGGGACGAAATTATTATTTTAAAAAAAAAGGGGAAAGACCATATTTAGAATAAAAAAAAATTACCGTAGGGCTGTTTCTCAGAGTGGCTAGCTAATCCTTGTTACAGACGCAAGCTCAGACAGACTTGTATTTGTTCAAAACTCATAGAACCAAGCTGTGGTTTATACTGTAACTCTTTCTGGGAGATAGCTCATAATCTGGCGGGATCACCAGTTTGAACATAACCATAAATCCTCGGTCACGATGACTTGTGACTATCGGCATATTCTGAACAGTTTACCCACATTTACACCAAAGACTTTGGGCAAAACGTAGTATGGTTACCAATGGTACCGTTCGCTGAGATCGCCTTCCAAGCCAATATTAATTGTGATGTCACTTCCTTGAAAAATCGACCACAGTGAGATTCGAACCCGGATCTCATGGTCGGGATGCTAATGAAAGTAAAAAGAAGCAATATATCTTGTTAAACAGCACTAAACATGACAAATCATTAATAGTAGATGGGTTCACCTATCGTTTTGATTCACACTTCTCCTCAGTCTTTTGAACAGGAGTAGAGGTTTATCCCTTGTTTCCTGTTTAGGATTCGGTTTCCAGTTTTTTTTTAAAGTCTATTTCAACTCTATATTTCTGATGTCACCGTTCTGAACTCTGAAATTTTATTTATATATTATTTATTTATTTTAAGTCTGCAATAGGAGTAGATAGGTTCACACCCACTCCCCAGTTCATCTTTTGTTTCCTGTTTAGGATTCGGTTTCCGGTTCTTTCTAAAGTTTACGTCCACGCTGTACTTTTAACGATTCCGACTGGACTCTGAAATTGTTATGGTCCAGGTCAGGACCAAGGAAGAACAACACGAACACAAGAGTAGAAATAACGAAGGTATATTACACGAAATAATAATACAAGGTGTGGAAGGTGTTAGTATGACTGTCAGTCTGGTTTGGAGTGAACTACTATAAAGGCACGACTCGATTCGGTATCTAGCCCCCCCAAACGAGGGGTTTGCATGTGGAACAAGGCCGAGTTTAACGTGGGTTTCCCGAGCCCTTTTTCGGCCAAAAAATGCCCGTAGAACCCGTATAAACGGGATCGGGTTGGTCAACCTCCCGAACGAGACTCTGCCCTTTCTCGGAGCCTCGTCCGAGTTCCTCTCTGCTCAGAGACCCCATTTCGACCAAATCAAGCCGAAAAGCTCGGCTTTGGTCGACCCTCTCTCTTGAAAGGCGTAGTATACAGTGTTAGGAAGAGTTCATTCTGTAGTTATAGGTAAGGACCCATGACAAATGCTATTCACTAATTAAATATTGGCCTCTTCAAGTCTAGAGTTGGCTGTTATCTTTCCTGCTTAGCACCATGAACTTCACTTCTTGCCCATTCTTACGCTCATATAACACCACATATAAGACTTCTACCTTGAGTGGCTCTTGGGCCTTGTATTGTGCGAACATTAGTAAAAAAAAAAGTAGGAGTATTGAGTTCGATCCTTACCGGACGAAGCCAAATTAAATAATCTATCCGATAATCCAAGCCTAATTCTTGCTTCTTTTTCGTTGACAGGTAATGTTCCTTATTGTGAAGTGATCGCTGTCACCGAGCAAGAATATGTCACCCCCCGTGCAAGCGGCCGCAGTTTGAACGGCTCAAAGCGATCGGCGTCTGTCCACCCGCTGTTCGTCCTGGAAAAGGAGGTGTACAAGAAACTGGACACAAATGGATCGGCGTCCACGTCGGCGGCTGCAACCGGAAGTGGCCATAGGGAACCCGTTCGTAATCTTTCCGATTCCAGGTATACTGACAACAGTGAAGGAAGTTTCACCATTCATTACATTAAACACTACAGCGGGGCTATTTTGGGAACGGCTTCCGTTACCTTCCAAGGACCCGTCCGGCTAAACCGGGAATTTGCCAAATGCCTTCGGGACCGTATGACTATCAGTAAGTACTTACATTTTATCTCTCACCCATCCCATTTCGCTCTCTCTTTCCACGAAATCCTCTCTCTCTCTCTCTCTCTCTATATATATATATATATATATATATATATACATATTCATGAATTATTCACACAAAACAAATGCAAGGTTAATGATTTAATTGGCATTTTCGGATACAACAATACATATATTTTCGTTGTCCTCTTATTACTAAGAAAAAAACAAGAACAACATCTATTCTATACCTGAAGATGTCTGTAGGAACAGACGAAAGCTTCGTAGTAAAAATAAGAACTAATACAGCAAAATTTATAGAAACAAGGATCATTTCATTCATAACGGATTCGGAGTTTTGTATATTATTTGAATTGTTTTGCGACGATGGATTTCTCGCCAATTAAATCATTAACCTTTGCATTTGTTTTGTGTGAATAATTCATGAATTTGTAAAATTGATTGCACGTTTATCGTAATATATATATATATATATATGTTAGGTTGGTGCAAAAATAATGACGTAAGAATGTCGTTTTTTTATGTTAAAAATACGTCAAAAAAACGACATTGTTACGTCATTATTTTTTTTAACCTGATATATATATGTGCGTGCGTGTGTGTGTGTGTGTGTGTGTGTGTGTGTGTGTGCATAATATGCATATATTATTATTTAAACATTATTTTAGTAGATACCTACATTTTGAATAGATGCTCCGTTTTATTTATTGAAGTATTTATTTCTTCGTTAAACGGTATATTTATTTATTTATTTTCGTCTACCGGCCTGAATATTCGAGAAATTTTATTCAAGGAAAATATACGCTCTCGGGCCGGACACGAGCCTACGTCCTCCTTGGCAGGATAGAGCATATTTTTCTATAAGATTACACGAATATTCTGGCATCTAGACGAAAATAAATAAATATATTGTTTAATAAATAAAATGATCGTTTACTCAAATATAGGTATCCACTAAAAAATAACGTTTATGTAATTTTAATAATAATATATATATATATATATATATATATATATATATATATATATATATATATATATATATATATATTGATGCATGTTTCATTGCTGGATTATGTCATTTAAATTGTGTTGTATTTAGGCAGCATTTTTTCATTGAATATATCAGCGGCCCACCAAACTGCCAACACTTGGAATTATAAATGTAGCCTTGTGAAAAGGCAAACTGAAATAGCCAAAGAAAAATTACTGTCATTATTGTCCGTGTATTGGTTAATATATTGAAATGTAATTGCCATCTTTGATAATGGCTTATGTAAGCCGAAAGCTTAGATAAGATTAAAAAATATATATTAATATTGTGATCTTCTTCCTTCGTTTAATGATAATGTTATTAAGTTTATCAGACGATATGAAAAGAATTCACATAAAATAAATAAACACTTGTTTATATTATTTAATGAAACATGCATCAATGAAAAAATGCTGCCCAAATACACACAATATATGTGTGTGTGTGTGTGTGTGTGTTATAAATGTAAAGTGCTCTACTGTTTATCAGGAGCTGAATATGAAGAAATATAGTTTTTATATATTGTCACGTAGCAACGATTTCATTAACCATATAGGCGTTAGGCTAAAGTAAAATCTTAAATAAAGAAAATTAGTTAGATATAAAAAAGATAAATAAATAGATAAAAACAGAAATTTAATCCAATGCTTCCGATTCGCGAGCGAATATATTCTATGATCAGCCATACCCCCCTCTTCTCTTCACAAATTCTTTCTCTCCTTATCCTCTCTTCCACCCGCCAGCCAAGGGCCCGTGAACTTAGAAGTGACCCGACGCGAGGATGACCTGGTTCTAAGATTTCGCGTTTGACCATGAGTAAACTCCAGACACCATCAGGGTCTCATGCTGCGATTCACGTGATCGGGACGTACGGAGCATGCGTTGAACTTTTGGCCATCACACAAACACTGCGTGATTTGCGCCCTATTCTCCTGCGTACCCGGTCAAGGACGAAGGGAACCCACGTGACTGTCTGTGGGGACAGCGAAAACCAAAGAAGGATTTTTCAGTTTCCCTCTGACCAGCGGCAGTTGAACATCGCTGGGCAAAAATCGTCAGACCGCCCACTGAGATGAGGAAGACCACGAAGTCTATCGACCAGTGATTGAAGGGCTGCTATTGACTGATCAACCCAACCAAATGCCTGTATGAAATGCTGGGGACCCACGAACACTTGCGAAAAGAAGAAGAATCCAGGAACATTGTCGGCCGGCCAAGATACTGATTTATCATCAGAACTCTCGCTTCGGCGAATCAAAACTTTATGTGAAGATACCAGCCCGACTGCAAGATAAGTTGGTTCTTTTGGCTCGATCTATTTTCATATATGTATGTATTCGCTCGCGCCTTCTATTCTTTACTGATGTCCTCCCCTTTGTTAAATGAATGTTCTTTTTTTTTTTCTTTCTTTGTTTCGTTATATATATTTTATAAATAAATGTTTAATTTTTGAAATCCATCGTCTTGCGTCTGTTCTTCGTTGATTCCCTTGTGTCGCTTCCATTTCTGAGTGAAGACCGAGAAAAGAAACCACGTTTTCCTTTTTTTTTAGACCCGTGGTTCATCTATATGCTACAAGTTCGTAACATATAAAATTGGGGCTCGTTCCGAGAATCTTTTCTCCCTGTTTTTTTCACTCAGTAAGAATCGCACAACTTCAGGGTGTCGGCGAACTACAGGCCAAGATGTCGGTTATAGATAGTTTTCTCGCATCGCCCTCTATGGAGAAATTATGTAAGTTTAAGAAGGATGATATAGTTGAAATAGGGAAGGAATTAGAACTAGAGGTAACGAAGGCTATAAGAAAAACTCAGCTAGTCAGGATAGTCTCTGAACATATGGTAGATAACGACATCTTCGACGTAGAAGAATTACGTCAATTATCAGTAGACACGTCGGAACTTTCGCAGGCCCAACTCGAGCTCGAGAAAGTGAAAATTGAGGCCGAGGCTAAGGTCAGAGCCAAAGCTGAAAGAGCAAAAGCTGAAATAGCAAAAGCTAGAATTGAGGAAGAAACTAGATTTCGGGAGTTAGACGAAAAGCGGGAACTTCACAAAGCTAGAAGTAGTGAGTTCAACTAAGCAAGTCCGACTCGTACCGCAGTTTAACGAGGCTGACGTCGACAAATATTTTCAGCATTTCGAAAAGGTCGCCTCAAACCTAGCATGGCCCATAGAAAATGTGGCCAATTTTACTGCAGACCGCATTAAAAGGCAAAGCCCAAGAAGCGTATGCCGCGCTCTCAGTAGCAGATTGCGCTGAATATAGCATTGTGAAATCGGCCATTTTAAAGTCGTATGAGCTTGTGCCGGAGGCATACCGGCAAAAATTTAGAGCCTGCCGAAAGGGAGACAAACAGACTTATGTAGAATTTTCTAGACAAAAAGAAACCTATTTCGATAGATGGAGTTTATCGAAAAACATCGAGGCAGATCACGATAGGCTAAGGCAAATGATCCTGATAGAGGAGTTCAAAGAATGTGTCCCTGATAATTTGAAAACCTACCTCGATGAAAAAAAAGGGTAGATACTTTATATGAGATGGCCACCCTCGCTGACGAATACGCGTTAACACATAAGCGGGGTACGTTCAATCATAACAACCCATCCGAATTTGGAAGCGGTCCACACCCAAGACGTGGATCTGGTTCTGGTCCGAATTCGAAGTTTGGTCGATCGGTTTAGTTCAGGCCAACTACCCAGTCCGAGAGATACCAAATCTCAAAATCCTAGTTCTCCGTCACCGGTTTATCGGCAGACGAATAGGAGAGAGGGAACTCCCGATGTGCCACTACTGCAATAAAGTAGGACACCTCGTGTCGAATTGTTGGACGAAGCGGAATGCCGAGTCCAGAGCCCTAAGTCAAGAGAGACCCCAAGGGCTAATTTCTTCCGACAGCGTTACCTAAATAGGAAACCGAATGAAGATGTGAGGGAGGAGTATAGGCCATTTGTGTCTAATGGTGCTGTATCCCCGTTGATAACCCCACGAAGAAGAAATCCGTGAAGATCTTGCGGGACACTGGGGCCACTCAGTCCCTGATTGTGGAGAGCTTCGTGCCGTGTGGATCGGATTCGGCCACTGGCGAATTTGTTATCATACAGGGTGTTAGCAGCAACTTTGTTAGCGTTCCCCTTCATCGAATCCACCTCACGTCTGGGTTAGTTTCTGGCCCTGTCGAGGTCGGAGTAGTTCCTAGTTTGCCTATGAAAGGCATATCCATGCTGTTAGGAAACGAATTGGCGGGTGGTAGGGTGATACCCCACCCTAAAGTAGTTCCGGAACCGGTTGCTTCGGTAGACACCGAAGATATCGAGGAAGAGAATCTCGATATATTTCCCTCGTGTGCAGTGACCAGAGCACAGGCCAGAAAGAAGGCCGATGAAAAGATAAACGAGATAATCGATAGGACAGAGGACGAAGTGATAGACCTATCGCAGACGTTTATAAATCCTGATGTGGGATTAAATTATCCTCCCGATAGTAACCCAACTGGAAATAGCGATGGTATTGTTGAGCCCGCTATGGACATTCCATTATCGAGGAGAGCACTTATAACAGAGCAGGGGAGTGATTCTGAGCTCACCCCACTCTTCCGTCACGTATTGCCCGAGGATGAGTTGGAGAAAGTTCCAACTGGATACTTTATTAAGAATGAGGTACTAATGAGGAAGTGGAGACCCCGCACATCTCCGCCTCAGAAGACTGGTCGACAGTCCACCAAATAGTACTCCCTAAACTGTACAGACCGGAGGTCATGAGGACAGCTCATGAGATCCCATTGGGGGTCACCTTGGCGTTAACAAGACGCACGATAAGATCGTCAGATACTTTTACTGGCCGGGTATCCGAAGGGACGTGTCTGAGCATTGCCGGACTTGCCACATCTGCCAGGTTGTAGGAAGCCGAACCAGAAAATCCCCATCGCACCCCTACATCCCATTCCTGCCTTCGAGGAGCCATTTTGTCGCATTATCGTAGACTGTGTTGGTCCGTTACCCAAAACTAAGTTAGGGAACCAATACCTGCTAACGATCATGTGCGCCTCGACCAGGTTTCCCGAAGCGATACCCATGAGAAATCTATCCGCCAGGAAAATAGTAAAGGCCCTTGTTAGCTTTTTCACCATGGTCGGCTTACCCAGGGTGATACAGTCAGACCAGGGATCCAACTTCATGTCAGGGGTGTTTCAACAAGTTACGAGAAGTTTGGGTATAAAATCCATTAAGTCAAGCGCCTATCACCCCCCAGTCCCAAGGTGCCTTGGAGAGTTCCACTCCACCTTGAAGAGCATGATGAGAACATATTGCCTGGACCACCAACACGATTGGGACGAAGGTATCCCATTCCTAATGTTCGCCGCTCGCGAATCCGTACAGGAATCGTTGGGGTTCAGCCCATTTGAATTAATATTTGGGCATTCAGTCCGCGGTCCTTTAAAGGTACTGAGGAAGGTTTGTTGCGGGAAGACCCAGTAACAGAAAATTTGCTGGAATATGTTTCACGTTTCCGAACCCGACTAGCAGAAGCATGTGAACTGGCCCGCGAGAACCTCCGGTCAGTTCAGCATAAAATGAAAGATCGATACGACCGAGACACAGTCGAACGAAATTTCAGTGTCGGGGATAAAGTACTAGTGTTATTACCCTTGCCCGGACATCCTCTCAAAGCTCGATTCCATGGCCCGTATGAAGTGGTCAGGAAGGCCGGTGACCTCAACTACGTCGTAAGAACCCCTGATCGCAGGAAGTCGACGCAGATGTGTCACATTAACATGCTTAAGCCTTACTATGAACGGGGAAAGACCGACCCTGTGTTAGTAATCAGTGGGCCTAACACTACGCCCGAGCCCACGGAGATCCGAGGAGAAGTTATGGAAAGGGGTGACCACCCCACCAAACTTTACAACTCCGAGGTACTAGCTGACCTAAGTGCGAAGCTGTCGCATTTAGCCCTTGAGGAGGGAAGGATTTAGCCTCCCTTATCGAGGATTTCAGGGGCCTGTTCCCTGACGTACCCAACAAACCACCGTTACTTATCATGATGTGGAAGTAGGAGATGCCACCCCCATTAAATAGCATCCCTACCGAGTCAACCCACGGAAAGCCGAAATCCTACGTGGAGAAATAGCCTACATGCTAGAGAACGGCATTATCGAGCGTAGCCAAAGCAGTTGGTCCTCCCCTGCGTGCTAGTGGACAAACCTGACGGCTCAGTTCGGTTTTGCACCGACTACCGAAAGGTGAACTTCGTCACTAAGACGGACTCGTACCCCATTCCCAGGATGGACGACTGTATTGATAAAGTAGGCAAGGCTACTTATATTACGAAGCTCGATTTGTTGAAGGGTTATTGGTGTGTGCCCCAACCGAGCGCGCTAAGGAGATATCTGCTTTCGCGACTCCGGATGGCCTGTATCAATACCGCGTGATGCCTTTTGGGATGAAAAATTCCCAGGCCACCTTCCAGCGAATGATGAACCATTGCCTGCGAGATCTGGCTGGTGTAGAGACGTACATCGATGACATAGTCGTGTACAATAACACCTGGGCCGAACACATGATATCTCTACGAAAAGTCTTCGATCGGTTGAAGCATGCCAATCTCACCATTAACCTTGCGAAAAGTGATTTCTGCCAGGCAGAAGTGACGTATCTCGGACACGTTGTCGGCCATGGGCGGATAACTCGATCGAGGCAAAAATACAAAGTATAGTTAAGTACCCAGCCCCGACCAATGTAAAAGGCCTGAGGAGATTTCTCGGAATGGCGGGTTACTATCGCAAGTTCTGTAAGAATTTCTCTGATATAGCCTCACCGCTTACCCAACTGTTGAGGAGGAAAGCCAAATTTGATTGGACACCCGACTGTCAGAGATCCTTTGATCAAATAAAAAAGCCCTATTGTGCTCAAACCCTGTCCTCAAAGCTCCTGAATTTACCCGACCGTTCAGGTTACCTGTAGATGCAAGTGACCATGGCATTGGCGCAGTATTACTACAGACCGATGCAAATGGTATCGAACACCCGGTCAGTTATTTCTCAAAAAATTCAACAATCACCAGAAAAATTACTCTACAGTAGAAAAAGAAACTCTTGCCCTTTTGTTAAGTTTACAACACTTCGAAGTGTATGTGTCTTCGTCCAGTCAGCCTACTTTAGTATATACTGACCATAACCTACTAACCTTCCTCAGGAAAATGAAGAATACGAACAGGCGACTACTGTGCTGGAGTTTAGCGTTACAAGAATACGATCTAACTATTCAGCACATAAGAGGCATCGACAACGTGTGTGCTGACGCCCTGTCCCGTATCTGATCGATAAGCTTTGAGGATCAAACGGGGACGAAAACAATCTCTTTTTTTTTTTTGAAAACTGCCGTTAATGGCATTTTTCTTTTTTTTAATTAGGGAGGTGTCACGTAGCAACGATTTCATTAACCATATAGGCGTTAGGCTAAAGTAAAATTTTAAATAAAGAGAAAATTAGTTAGATATAAAAAGAAAGATAAATAAATAGATAAAACAGAAATTTAATCAATGCTTCCGATTCGCGAGCGAATATATTCTATGATCAGCCATACCCCCCTCTTCTCTTCACAAATTCTTTCTCTCCCTATCCTCTCTTCCACCCCGCCAGCCAAGGGCCCGTGAACTTAGAAGTGACCCGACGCGAGGATGACCTGGTTCTAAGATTTCGCGTTTGACCATGAGTAAACTCCAGACACCATCAGGGTCTCATGCTGCGATTCACGTGATCAGGACGTACGGAGCATGCGTTGAACTTTTGGCCATCACACAAACACTGCGTGATTTGCGCCCTATTCTCCTGCGTACCCGGTCAGGACGAAGGGAACCCACGTGACTGTCTGTGGGGACAGCGAAAACCAAAGAAGGATTTTTTCAGTTTCCCTCTGACCAGCGGCAGTTGAACATCGCTGGGCAAAAATCGTCAGACCGCCCACTGAGATGAGGAAGACCACGAAGTCTATCGACCAGTGATTGAAAGGCTGCTATTGACTGATCAACCCAACCAAATGCCTGTATGAAATGCTGGGGACCCACAAACACTTGCGAAAAGAAGAAGAATCCAGGAACATTGTCGGCCGGCCAAGATACTGATTTATCATCAGAACTCTCCTTCGGCGAATCAAAACTTTATGTGAAGATACCAGCCCGACTGCAAGATAAGTTGGTTCTTTTTGGCTCGATCTATTTTCATATATGTATGTATTCGCTCGCGCCTTCTATTCTTTACTGATGTCCTCCCCCTTTGTTAAATGAATGTTCTTTTTTTTTCTTTCTTTGTTTCGTTATATATATATTTATAAATAAATGTTTAATTTTGAAATCCATCGTCTTGCGTCTGTTCTTCGTTGATTCCCTGTGTCGCTTCCATTTCTGAGTGAAGACCGAGAAAAGAAACCACGTTTTCCTTTTTTTTTTAACCCGTGGTTCATCTATATGCTACAAGTTCGTAACAATATATATATATATATATATATATATATATATATATATATATATATATATATATATATAATATATATAAAAAATAACAAATTCGAAGTATACTATATATATATACCGAACACACTAAAATTTATAGCACTATAATATATGTGTGTGTGTGTGTTTCATATTTATCTCTCGATGTCCGTTTCATATGTATATTTCGAATCTGGTTTGAGAACCATATAACAAGAGTTCCCGAAATAGCTTCTTGACAGCTCCAGAATAAAAAAAAGCATTATTTGCTTAACAAAAAGGTTTGTCTGTCTATCTGTCTCTGTCTGTCTGTCTGTCTGTCTGTCTGTCTCTCTCTCTCTCTCTCTCTCTCTCTCTCTCTCTCTCTCTTACATGTTTGACTCCGTAGAAGTGATATGGCATGTCTCAGCTCTAAAAGCGAAGTAAAAGAATGAAGTTCATCTTAACATTTGCATATCCGATTTCTTATAGATTACTGAGCGCCCGACATTTATAACCTTGTGCCATATTCACTTAAGCTTATCACAATATTTAAGCTCACGTCACCGTGAAAAAGTAATTAATATTCCCATTTTGCATGGTCGAAGTAAGTTCAATCTTAGCTGACAGCGATTCATTTATGGTCTTTTTTCAGAAAATGTTCATTTTTAGAAAATATCTGTTTTTGTACGAGTCTTGCTTGTAATACTGTCGTTATTAACTTCACGTACTTATTTATTTTTATGTACTTTTGAGATTTTACTAACATATCTGGATTTTCTTTCTTTCTTTCTCGATTCTGTTGCCGCTGTCAGGCCAAAACCGACCAAAACATTTCCTTGCTTTTGTCAGTCCCAAGAGTGGTAAGAATCGCGGCGTGAAGATCTTTCGCAACAAAGTTCGTCCAATTTTTGAATTGGCCGGAATCAAGGTCACCGAAGTTGGTAAGTGTATTATAAAAAAAAAAAAAGAAGATCATCATCATCATCATCATAATCAATGTCACCATCATCATCTGTCGTAAGAGCAACTCAGTCAATATTTACAAAACACATCATACAGAAAATAATATTGAACAACACACGACCAAAATTGGACAGGTTGACTTTTCACTGTTTTCAGAAAATCAACATTGCATTCAGTGTGAAAGCTGGGTCTTCCTATGATAAGTACTGCCAATAAAAATTGGATTCATAGCTCTCACCAATTTTTGAGCATTTACTTTTAAATATCGTTTGAAAAAATATATCGAAATACCCAAGGTTTTTTGCATGGAAAACTAACTTCAAAATTTTACTATTTCAATAATAAATTCAAATACATTGATATATTTTGTATTAATTAGATTGAATGGAAAATATATTCAAACCAAAATACTAATTATGAATAACCACTGGCAAAATATGCAATTTTTTTTACTGTATTCAATAAATAAAAACCGTGTAAACAATTGTAAAAATTTACAAATAAGGCTACTCAATGGATAAGATATATTAGATTATTTGTTAAATCATAATTAATAAAAGCAAAAAATAGATAAAATGCATAAAACGCCATGATATTGCTGAGCACAAAATATGAGACAAAATGTTTGAAATTTGCATTGTTTATTGAAAATCGCACTAAAACAACTGCACTGTACATTACATATAACATCATAATATAGTTAAATTGTTCAATATAATTTCCCTTTGAAGTAAATGAAGGTCTTATTATGGCAGAATGATTTAGTAATAATGTTCTTTTGCCATGCATATTGTGAATATACAATTTGTAAGCTTCAATAAATTATAAATTTTATGAGGCTGTGCAATAAGGCTTTTATTGATCACCGTAATTAAATTCCAAAGCTACGATTTTGAACCTAAATTTAATCTTTAAACTCGTTTCCTTTAAAACTGGTAATTATTTTGAAAAAAGAAAATTTGTTGTTATTTATTGTCAAACCCCAACTTTCAAATTGAATGCAATAGCACGCTTCCAAAATCGACCAGTCTTAGTCACAACCCCACATACATATATATATATATATATATATATATATATATATATATATATATATATAATATATATATATATAAAAAGTGATATTGAATTCAACACTCAGAGGCGACAGGCTGTTTCATGCTGGACGCAATAGTCAGGCCGCCTGACAGTTGCACCCAGCATGAAACAGTCTGTCGCCTCTGAGTGTTGACTTCAATGTTCACTTTTATAATTATATTAAATACGCTTTACCTCTGATATTGAGCACTTTATCTCATAAATATACCACAACTTAAAACTATATTTCTTCATACACACACACATATATATATATATATATGTGTGTGTGTGTGTGTGTGTCTGTGTTAGCATGTGAAACCACTTAAGTCACACCTTCGCTAAATTTTACATGTCCCCATTGAAAAAAATTATTTAAAATAACTGATAAACCTGTAAACTATACAATGTACGTCGATGACATTTTCGTTTTGATAAGAAATAATGATGTAATCGCAAAGCTAAAATCAACTTCTGAAAAAACTTCATCGCTAAAGTACACATATGAACCCAAAGTACATAACACGATCTCATTCCTTGACGTTGAGATAGTGTTAAAATCGAACCAGTATAAAAAAAACCTGCCAGGATGAACTCTTGTCTTCTAAACTATGATAGCCAATGCACTGAAAGATAAAAAAAAATAGCACTCATAACAAACTTCTTAAACAGAGAATACCAAAATTTCTCTTTCCAAATGATATTTTTTTAGCGAACTGAAAGATATAAAACGAATACAATAGTCATCAATAATTTTCCTATCATTGATAAACAAATAAAATTATTCTTACAAAAAATACACAACACCAATAATAAAAATACAATGCCACAAAATATCAACATATTTTATTGCAACCAGATGTGCAATAACTATAAGCAAGGCGAATTTGATATAAGGACAATTATTAAATACCATATTTTGGCTGTAATTCTTGATAAACATATAAAGTTTATAATATTATATAGAAAATGAAAGACTGCAAATCTCGTCGTCACTAACTGAAATAAACCCACCAAATCTAAATTAGCCGTGACCAATTTAGTGTACCAATTCCAATGCCCAGTACAAGACTATGTTACTTGTCAAAAACCAATTACGTATATCGCACACACCCACTACCCCCTTGTGCCACCTCTCACAGAGTGCGATTAATAAAAATTTATTAACGCACAATTTACAAGAACCTTTAAAGAAAAATCCGTGTTAAAAGTTTTCTAAAAACAGAAGTGATGCCCAGGTCAACCAGTCACGCATATCACGTGACCGCCGAAAAATGCATACACTCCACACAGCTACACTACCATGTAGAATACACACAAACTCGACATACCAAAATATCTTTGATAATGGGTATAGAACTAACCAAAAACGTTTGGAATATTAACTAAGGACAAATTTTATATTCTTTAATTCCTGAAAAATGCTAGAAAGCTGAAAAAACTAAATAAAATATTAATTAAATCTTCCTTGTCGGCCGTTTTCAAAGAAAGATGCTTGAAAGAAAGATTGCTGCCCAAATATATATATATATATATATATATATATATATATATATATATATATATATATTATTTTATTATTTTTTTATCTTCAACATCACCACTTGATAAGACACAGAATGTGTTTAAACAAAATGACTATTTTGTAGTGATTTTATAACATACTTATGTTATAATTTTTTTATAAATAATAATTATATATATATATATATATATATATATATATATTTATGAAATGGACAAAGTCCGACAATTATTTTTAAGACATTTTTATGTTTATACATTCTTTTTATAGATACAAATATTTAAGTAAATGCTCTGTTTTATAATAAACAGTTTTAAACAACATTTACCGACGGACGAATAATTTCTATGAAAATTTCTCGGACATTCAGGCCGGTAAATGTTGTTTAATACTGTTTATTATAAAACAGAGCATTTACGTAAATATTTGTATCTATAAAAAAAGGATGTATAAACATAAAAATGTCTTTAAATATATATATATATATATATATATATATATATTTACGTATGTATGTATATATATATATATGAGGGAAATAAAAAATTATCTGCACTCTTATCTAAAGATATGTAATGGCGAAAGTGCAGATAATTTTTGACTTACCATCAAACGTTTAAGCAAAAAAAGAAAAAAAATCCTCTCAGTCAATTTAAATTAGTTTTGAAATACAGAAAAGTATTTTGCTTATTGGAAATATTAAATTTAATCTATTAACTAAAATAAAAGCTTCAAGAAAGATTTTTCATTTTTTAAAATTCATTTTAAACTTTAGGTATCGCGAATCTGTGAAGGTACCTACTCTTAAATGTAGTGTCTACGAACTTTGAGGATTGGAAAGTAAATTGTTGGGTTTTCGTATAGGCCAAGTAACAGACGATACATGGCTTTAAGGAGCGTGGGGCTGAAAAAGGCTATGGAAGGCTATTAGGACAATAAATGATTTCAGATTATAGTCATGGTAATATGCAAATTTCTAAGTAGGAATTGTCCCATCTTATTTGTCAAATAAGCTTTTGATTCGCATTATTAATGTTTTTATTTATTTTTATTTATTTACTCAGTGACGGAGAGGCAGAGACACTCTGTCGAGTACTTACAAAAATGTGACCTCAGCGATTTTGATGGGTAAGTAAATTTAGATACATATACTTTGCATATCACCTATCTGGCACTAGTTTAATTGTCTGGTCCGCTCATAAAAAAAAAAAGGTGATGACTATTTTTAACAATTCTTGTAGATTAGCAATAAAATCATCCTAAAGTCATGAATCTCAAACCACCCGACCAGAAGGGGGCCCGAGTTTGAGTGGGGTACCCCGGGCAAGTGCTTTGTGACTCTCGCTATCTTATCAACATTTGCTTTGTCTACCTGTATTTATATACGTCACAAATTAAACTAAGCACAACTGACTATTAAAAAATGAAAGATTTTTGCGGTTATTGACATTATTCTAGGGTCTTTTTTTTTTTCGTTCAAATCTGTGTTTTTGTTTTGCTTATGGTAAGTCTCGAAAAAAACACTAGATAAAATTCACTATATATTTTTTTATCCATATGTTAAAATTCTTCAACTTTTTAAGAAGAGAAATATCAATTAGAAATTGTCGGAAAACATTGTTGATTTATTTAAGATAGAATAATCTATTATGACATGTCTCTAATTTGTATTTAGATACATTGTATTTATTTTCAAATTTTCTAGTTGAATTCTTAACGTATATTGCATATAACCCTTTATTGTACATAATTAGGTTACAATAAAATTTATATTTTATATGAATACTAACTTTTTTTTATTTTTTATATCGCTATGTCATACAAGAATTTTTTGCCTTCCATCGAGTTCTAGTAAAATGGGGGGCCCCGTATTATAGATTGGTGGGTATGTATCATAGATTCGAGAGGGGACGACAAGGAAACCTTTGCACTTGAATATACTAATGCCTATAATAGGGGACTGGAAACTGGAAAATAGAAGATCGTGAAAGGTGTTACATTCAAAGTTTTGAAGGATGGCAAGGAAGCTAGAAATCAAAAACCACCCTCCACAGGCGAGAAGTGCAAAAAAAAGAAACTATTAGAGCAGAACATCTCCATCTAGCTAATTCAATAGTGAAACGATGAGACCTAATTGGCAATCTAGTAGCAAGGTTTGAGATTAATGCATGTCTGCATTTCAGCCATCCTTTCAGCCATCCTTCTCTCCGTTATATTATAGTGTTAGCATATCACAGATATACTCAGGACCGGTTCGTACTCCTCCCCGGACCGCAGGAAGAGAAAAACTGTTTGGAGACCTCGGTCAGTCATTTATCACATTTGCTTTGTCTACCTGCATTTATATACGTTACAAATTAAACTAAGCACAACTGACTATTAAAAGATGAAAGTTTTTCACGGATTTTGACGTTATTCTGGGCACCGTTTTTTTTTTTCGTCCAAATTCGTCAATTCGTTTTGGTCATGTTAAGTCTCATAAAACACGATATAAAATTCACTATTTTTTCATACATTAATGCTCTTACAAACAAATATACACAACAGATTCATAAAATCGAAAGAAAATGGCTGAATACATCAACACAGATATAATGACAATATTCTCCACACGTGACAATCTCTGACGTTATTTTTCAGTTAAAAAATATGAAAATAGCGTTTCTCTACATTCCAGTTGCTAGGTACATTCTGTTTTTGTTTTTATTAGTTACTTTATTCATTTAATTTCATTTTCGTATTTTGCTTTGATAAAGTCCACATTGGACGAAACGCGTCAGCAATTACCAGTTTTCCTATTGTCATTTTTATTCATAAATAATGTTAAGTGTGTTAATTATTCAATTTTTTTAACAGGAAAGACTTTAAATTGATGTTAAAAATTGCCACAAGACTGATGTAATGGAATAACTAGTCACCCCCTTGAATGATTAAACTATAGGTAGTAAGTACCTATAAAGTCAACCGTCTACGAGAGACTGGGGGGAAGAGTGAGAGCCAGAACAGTGCTCTCTCCTGTTCTTCACTGTCGAACTCTTTGCCTTGAGCAGAGAGCAACCCGGACGAGGCAGAGTTTCGTCCGGGGGAGTAGACATACCCTGAACCCGTTTATGCGGGTTCTAAGGGGATATATTTGGCCGAGCTCGGAGAACCCATGGTAAACTCGGCCTTGTGCCACATACATCCTGGGGGGTGTTAAATATTAAAAGTGAGAGCGAGAAGACGCAAGCCCGTTCGACCTTCCAATTAGTGGCACTCACTTACTAGAGTGACCTGTGTATATAACTGTACCGTATTTCATATTGTACTTGTTGTGTACAATAAACCTTTCTTCTAGTATCCACCTGGGGTTAAGTATTTATTCCCTTAGCACGGAATATAACAAAGACAGTGTTGATTTATTTATGACGTGTCTCTAATTAGTATTTAAATACAGTCTATTTATTTTCAATTTTTCTAATTGAATTGTTCACCTGTATTTCATATGATCTGTTATAATGCATAATAAGATTACAATAAAATTTATATTTTATATGGCTACTACCTTATGAATATTGAGATGTAGAAGAGTGGGGAGATCCATATCCTAGATTCATAGATGTGTGCCAAAGCATGAAACCGATGTATTTCACAAATATGTATTATAATAGGCAGAGTAATGGATAGCGCTTCGGATTGAGGAATCGGAGAGCCGAGTTCGAATTCCAGTGGAACCCATTAGATTCCCTTACATGCTAATACCCTTGGGAAAGGTATGAATCTTCTTCTTCTCCCCGCGCCCCAGTAAGTAGCAGGACAGACCGAGTTCTATAGCCTTAGATGGCAACTGGTCTACCGCAGAAACAAATGGGAAGAATCTGCCTCGTCAGTCACGTATCGACAGATACATGATCGCCTAAGTGTGTATCACGTATGGCACTTAACTGACTGATTATAATAGATCATATGAATTTATATATGAACAAATGCTACTCGAATTAAAAAGAGAAGAAAATTAACTAAGATAGAAATGTTTACAAAGTGCTTTAATCTTTAGATCATGCGCAGTAAATCTGTATTCAGGTTCTTATAAACCTTTTACCGTTCTTGGTAGATCTGTTATAACAGTGTAGAAGATTTAATAACAAAAATGGTGGGAACAAATAGAAAAAAGAAAAATAATAATAGATTATATATCCAAAACATTTTAAAATTCCCAGCATTTCTCGTTCATGCTTATCTGTAGTCGCATCAACGTACACATAAACTTCGATCATTATCCGGATTACTTCGGAAGTGTGCTGGTTAAACACTCTGCCCCAGCACACTTCCGAAGTAATCCGGATAGTGAGCGAAATAAAGGGTTCAGTTCGAAATTCCAACCACCTGAAGAACGCCGGAGCGTACAACGGCCGAAACGTTGTGATAAATATGGCGACAAAGATGAGGACAATAGTCCGAATAATGTAAATAATGTACATAATACCTCATCTCAGAAATATATATATACAGTGTAACCCGAATATAAGAGAGTAGTCGGGTTTCCGGGTTTCTCTTATATCCGGGTTTGGTCTATTTTATATACATTAACACAGGCTATAATTTGGGACCAGAGAAAATCTCTCTTATATCCGGGTTTCTCTTATATCCAGGTCTCTTATATCCGGGTTACATATCCGGGTTATATATATATATATATATATATATATATATGTGTGTGTGTGTGTGTGTGTGTGGATATATATAGGGACGCTTTTCTATATCTATATTTTTCCATTCTTTGTTTTTTTTTCCTACCATTATGTCTCTTCTTTCTGCGCTGTCTGCTTTTTATATCACCTTCCATTTTTTTTTCTGTTTTTATTTTTTTATTTTTTAACTAAACAATGTCGATCGCTTGATTAGCCATGCGAATATGCCGCCAACACTGATAAACGCGACATCCAAAATGGATGGCTTTTTTATTCACCACACTGATCTCGATTCGGACGAGAAAGAGGCCAATAAATAAATAAATAAATGGAAATAATACAAAGGCGTAAGGGTGTGGGAGAATAAAGGAGGTTATCACCCACACACTCATCGAATCTGACCCTCCCATACGTTTATCTGCTTTTTGATGTGTGTAGTCGCGTCTTTAAATGGCAATATATAGAATTGTACTATCGAACGTGTACACACACACACACACACATATACACGCAAGCACACATATCTTATTATTGACTTCATCCTTCTTCGTCATTGCCAGCGACAAAATATTTTAGCAAGATGTGGGTAATAACTTAGGGCGCAGGGTAAAGTGGTTTCATGACTTTGCCTGGGATATTTGTACAAAGTAAAGCATAATCAACCTCAGCTAAAATCCGAACACTGGCCATTGATCGCATTTCTAAGATGGTAACTCATACATCACCCACAAAATACCCTCATTTTCTACCAGACTCTACTTCACTTTCTCCCATATATATATATATATATATATATATATATATATATTTAGCTTTTTTAGTATACTTTTGAATAACATCTCTTTGCCTATTGTTAATTTCATAAAATTTTGCTTGTCTGTGATATTCAACGAAACATTATATATATATATATATATGTGTGTGTGTGTGTGTGTGTGTGTGTGTGTGTGTATAAATAAAAAGAAAGAACAGTAAGATATATAATCCGGTGTTCTTATAGGTATTTTTATTTTTACAAAATAGCTAATGTTTCCAAGGTTACAATTATGAATTTTGTTTTAGCCGTGTCTTTAAAACCCAGTGATTTTAAAAGTTACTCCAAAATTCGCTTGAGGATGAAATGGAACTAATGTCTTTAATTTAATTACAAAATTAAATTCGAAGTTTTTAGCTTCCATTTTTGAAACATGGTTAGAACTGTGTAGCGGAAAAAACATTTTAAATCAATTAATTTATAATATTAATGCTCTGTAAATTTACATCGAGCGCTATTTTGTAAAAATAAAAAAAAAATACACCCCTACCCACTACCAAAAGTAACAATAACTGATACATTAAAATATAGACATATTCAACACCTAGACACCCCTGTCTAGAAAAATAGATTTATCTGTAACCTTGGAAACATGAATTTTGTTTTAGCTGTGTATTTAAAACCCAGTAATTTTAAAAGTTACTCCAA